GCCTGTGAGGAGTGGATCTACCTTGTTGAAAAGATGCCGAGCTGTTCAGCAGTCCTTTGACGCTCCCCACTAGGCCTTGTACCTACAGAGTCATTGTATTTTCCCATCTTTTAATACCATGAAAGTATGCAGGTTCACCTCACAAAAATCCTCCCTCTGGGGAGTTCCTATTGCCTGGCCCTATCCTCCTGATGCAGAAATACCACTTTAGTTTGATATGTCAATTGTTTTTACAAAATATTTGCACAAGTAACCCTATCATGGACCTGTGGTTGGGTTTGTCATGATTGCTATGTTTCAGGTGGAAGACTAGATAGCTCATCATCATGAAGACTCTAGGCAAATTGTATAGCCAGTGATTAAATAGCAGGATACAGATTCAGGCCCAAGACTGTCTTGTGTTACTCCTCTCTGCGTCACTAAACTGAATAATCAGAGACACTCAACTTCAAGAGAGAAAGGGTCTGGCTGAGTTTTTTGGATGTTCCAGTTTGTGGTTGGCTGGCCCACTGACTTCTGGCCTGTGGTAAATCAGTTCATCCCAGGGAGAGCATGTGGTAGCTTTCCTGTTGTCCTCTCACGGAAGCACAGAAAGAAAGAACAGGGCCCAGGGTCTTTATCTTCCCTCAAAGGACGCAGAGGCCTTCCAAGGAAGTCCCAGGTCTCCAAGGCCCTATTATCTCCGAATGCTTCCACGGGCCATTTAACATATGGGCCTAGAGACCATGTGTCAAAACCACAGCACACCCCCATCTCTAGCAGGATGTTCACTAGCCGGATATGGTTAATCCATGAGGTTGAGAATTGCCATGGAAACAAACCTCTGGGTTCATTTTGGGAGAAATTTTCTAGATCAGGACATCTGATATTAGGAAAACAAAACAAAACAAAACAAAAAGCCAACACAGCCCTAATGTGAGCAGCATTGTTCCATGGGCTCAGTCCAGAAAGGAATAAATTCGGGGAAGGGCAATCTAGGAAGGGCATTTACCGCTCTGTTTCTGTTTCCCGGCTGTTGGTGCAATATGACTGGCCACCTCTAGCTCCTGTGGCTGTCAATGGCCTACTGTGAGACAGCCCCCCAAACCGTGAACCAGACTAAGCCACTCCTTAAGCTGCTTCTATGAGGGCTTTTGCTGTTCCCATACGCCTCAATCAGGCTACACACCTCCTCCCTCTCCTCTTGGTCCCAAGTCCCAGGAGTTGTGCCCCTGATGTTGTTGTCATACAACTAAAACTCACCTAGCCACCAACTTTGCCTCAGTCTTGGTGTGCCTTCCTTATGTCTAATGATGGGATAAGTGACCTATTCCCTGATTCAAGGTACTTTCAGGGGTCATATCAGAGATGGGGGGCATCTTTCTGGAAATTTCCTGAATCACAGTGGCTTTGTGGAGTTTCATGTTTAGGCAGGAACCTATTTTATGTGGATTTAGGATGACTTAACATAGTGTGAGAAAGGATTGTGACCCCTTCCTCTTCCAATGATTCTCTGTGGCTTCTGGGACCCCGGGGTTGGGGTAGGGGGTGTTGGAAGAGATAACTTGGGCTCTTCCAAACCAACTCCACTTGGCAAGGTGGCTACCACACAGATGATTACAAATTAGGGAAGTCTCTTTCCATATGACCAGTAGCTCCCACTGTGAGAGTTACTCTTCCATGGCTGTAAGTACACTTTGCAACTACAAGTGAACACTTTATAAATACAAGTGATCTCAGTGGGGTTTAAATCCCCTCACAAAACGTGTGGACATATGTGTCATTCAGGAAGTCCTGGCCTCAGCTACTGGTCCTGTGAGTAAGATCCACCCGTGTCACAGAGTCCCGAAAGCACTTCGGATTTGTATTCCCATCATGAGGCTTTCCTCTGGCCTTCCTGAATGATCACTTACAGAGTTTGTGGGCAAGTATTATCCTGGGAAACGTCCTTGGAAACGTCTAGTCCCCAGCTCGTGGACACACAGACACTCTGCTGCTGCTGCCTCTCAGTCCTCAGCTCTTCCTGGATCTGGAAGAAGGCATGTTTCTGGCTATTCATCGAAGGAGTCTAGGTCAGAACTGCGTGTGTTGGGGTGTGGGTGGGGGCAGGGTTATCTACTTTAAAAAAACACGATGAAGCCAAGACAGCCATGGGGTTTTAGGACCACTGTGCCAGGCAGGGTCTCTGTCATCTAGTCCACTTGGTGTCTTGATTTCCACCACACAGGGCCATGTGTCATGATCCTCCTTCATCCAGAGCACCAGTGCATGTGTGAAAGCCATGGACAGTGGGACACGCCCTCCGCCATCAGTGCGTGTTTGTGGCTGTATTTTGTTTTGCTAATTTTCTTTTTTAAAAAAGATTCCTTTTATCCTTTTATTGTTTACTCGCGTATCTGTGTCTTTGTGCCTATCACGTATGTGTGGGTGTCTATGGAGGCCAGAAGAGGGGAGCTGTAAGCCATCTGGGGTGGGTGCTGGGGTCCAGCTGGATCCTCGGAAGGAGCCAGAAACGCTGCTAACTGCTGAGCGCATCTCCAGCCCCTCTTCTGTTTTGTTCACTGTCGACTCAGTTGCCCAGGCTGTCGTCCACATGAGCATGCCCCTGCCTCAGATTCCCTGGGATTGCAGATGTCTACCACCATGGCCAAGTCATTGTATAAAACTTAACATGTGTCTTCCCTAAGAAGTAGACAGACTTTTCAAAAGTCTCTGAGATAGTATTTTGATGGGGAAGTCCTGTGTGTATGTCAATAAAGCACTGTTGGCCAATAGGGAAACAAGATAGGTGGGACTAGGAGTTAAGGAGGATTCTGGGAAATGTAGTGAATTGAGCCATCGCCATGTGACCCCCCCCCAGAGAAGAGAAGGCAAGTCTGGCATTCTATGAACAATAAGTCCTTATAAAAAGGTATATTAGTAATTATGGGTCAAATATTAAGTCATAGCTAGCTGGTTAGAAACCATAGCAAACGGCCAATAGCTTCGTAATTAATATAGTGTCTTGTGTTTTATTTGGGGGTTCAGACATCTTGACAGGGCCCAGGCAGCTGGCGGGGAAGGCAACACATTACAGTATTTTTTCTTTTTTATTAATTTATTTTTTGCGTTCCAATCCCAGTTTCCCCTCCCTCCTTTTCTCCCACACCCTCCACTTCCTCCTCCTCCCATCAGCTCACTTAGGAAGTCTACTAAGTCTGTCCTGTCACCTTGTTGAGGCAGGACCAAGGCTCTTCTCCACCCACACACCCCTGTGTCTAGGCTGGGCAAGGTATCTCTCCAAATACAATGGGCTCCACTAAGTCAGTTTGTACATTAGAGTTAGATCTTGGACCCACTGCCAGTGGCCTCATGTATTGTCCCAGCCGCACCACTGCCACCTGTATTAAGGGAGTCTAGTTCAGTCTTATGCAGGTTCCCCATTTGTCAGACCTGAGTCAGTGATCTCTCACTAGCTCGGGTCAGCTGACTCTGTGGTTTTTCCCCATCATGGTCTTGACTCCTTTGTTCATGTTATTGCTCCTCCCTCACTTCGATTGTACTCCAGGAGCTTGGCCCATTGGTTAGTTATGGATTTCTGCATCTGCTTCCATCTGTTTCTGGAAGAGGGTTCAAGCTTCTCTGGGGTTGTGGAGAGATAGTACTTTTAAGGTTCTTTACCAGCTGCATAACAAATAAATATTGAGCTATTCACAAAATGTTACACCTCTCTGGAGAGTACTTGTCAACTTCACCCAAAGGGAAGAGCTGGATTTAACCCTTCTTCCCTGTTATTGAATTCCACCACTCCATGTCCACGACTGTCCCTTGCAGCTCCCCATCACGGATCCCTGGCTTTCCATTTCTAAGCACAGGTGAGAGATTCTGCATATGGTCCCTGTGATTCTGGGACCAGGCAAGCTTAGATGAGAGACTGTTTATGGACCAAATATTTCTCAGGTAAATACTGCATTTAACCCTCTGGCTTATGCCTGCATCTCTGGGCTCATCGATACCTACGTTCTACCTTTGGTTTTAGAAATTGCCATTTAGTCAGAAATTATGAGAATAGTTTAATCCCACCCAGGAATCTATAAAACCAGAAATTCTCCATTATTTGCCTTTGTGATTTTTTAAAAATATCATTACAAAATGAATCGTTGAGTTCTCTTTCAAGTTTCCAAGCCACAAAGCCAAGTAGCTTTCCTTACAAGGCTCAGCAAGCCGTCAGGGGAGTAGATCAGATGGGGGGTGTCTTTGTCTTGCTTGTGTTTTTCATCCTGGTTTAACCAAGAGAAAGAAACTGGAATTGGATCTGGAGATATAACTCAGTGGTGGAATGAGACACCCAGGGATTCAGTCCGTGGCATCAACACAAAAGGAAAACAAAAGTGAGCCGGCACTGACCAAATGTCTGGGGTTCTCTGTCCAGGTCTACGGATGCTAAGTGTGTTATTGGTCACATCGTGGGGGATGCAGTAGACTCTGAACCTGAAATGCGTACGCTGAGGGGGAAACTACGCGTTCAGTTGTTCCAGCCACTGTTATTTGTTTCTATTGGTTGAATCTTGTCTCGTGGTTAAAAACATTAGGAAGATGGTCTCACAAGGAGGAAGTGGCTGCCATCCTCCACTCTTAAGGGGACAACCCTTCTGTGCCTGGTCGTTAGGGGCCCCAGGGCATATTTCCATGGAAACGGTTTTTGAAATATATCTGCGGTGTTTGCTCTTTGAATACTTTTTGGACCCTGGAGAATCAACTGGCAGAACCTAGCAGTTGAGAAGGACTTCTGGTCACGTGTGGACACCCCGTTCTACGGGTAGCACTGATGAAGTCCTCTGGCTCTTCCTCTCTCTCCCTCCTCCTGCCCTCCCCGTCCCCAACACTGCAGAAGATTAGACACGTGCCCTGGGAGGGTCCACGACTCAGACCAACAACAGCTCGGCTTCCAAGGCCGACTATCAGGGAATTAAAGGGTGTGGAGGGAAGCGAGTGAAAGGTTTGATCTTTTAGCACAAAAGTCTTAAAAGAAAACGGTGCCCTTTAAATCAAAGGCTTTTATTTAGTGTTTGGGAGAATAGTTAATGAACAAGACGGGGAGAAATGTTCTCCAGCCTGGTGCCTTAAACGTATTGGTTCCAAACTTCGATAATTAGCCATGTTGTTTCTTTGTATTTTAGGCTTAATAACGTGGTTGGTTGACAGAGGAAAAACAGGGAATTGTTCTCTTTGGCTTCCTGTGGTTCTGCCTGCGGATGGTGCTTTCCCTGGCTCCAGAGTTTTTCAGGCTTTGGGGAGAAAGTGATGTTGCCGGAAGCCTTGCCTGTCTCCGCTCTCTGAACTCCATGGCAACGCTCATGCGCACAGAGCCAGCTGACCTCACTCCCTTCCCCTGACAGGATATTTGTGCAGATGTCACTCACGGGAAACCCAAAAAGATCCAGTCGCTCAACCTGCCCACTCTGAGGTTAGAGTCCAGGAGGGGAAACCAAGAAGAATCGGAAATGCCGGGATAGGGGATGAAGTCTGGTGACTGGAAGATCCTGAGCCGTGGACAGGCTGATGCTCAAGTTACTCAGCAGAAATGTCTTAGCTCCCTGGGGCTCCAGCAAGCTGGGAACTCAGTGAGCTTTGTAGGGCCAGCAGGGCAGAGCGAGGTTGCTTCACATAATGTGTGTCTGCCTTTGTAAAGTAGGACTCTTTTGCAGGGTCGTTTGTGGCCTGGCATCAAGGGGCTCCCACAGTATAGCCTCTAGAAGGGGAAGTGAAATTACATAATAAGTAAGTAATTAAAATCTGCTGACTTCTGTACCTTTTTTTTTAATGCCACGAAGAACCAGTTACACACTTAAGTTAGAAACTTGGTTTTATAACCAAGTAGCTAAGAGACTAAACAAATCTCCTTCAGTTTTTCTTTTATGCCTCTCACTTTTCTTTCCTGTGATATGTGACATGGGGATGAAATTTTGCATCTCTCCTGTTTTTGAAGTGCAGTTCGGTTTATTTTGCGGCAATGAATGAGAGGAAGTGGGGCTGGAAGTTAACTTTTGTCAGTATTTTTCTTGACATAACATTTTTTTCCTCAATGAACCTGTAGTGTTTTACTCGAGCCTACCTTATGTCCTGACTAAGAGGAAAACGTGGCGTTATTTGGGGGAGGCTTAGAATGCGGTGGGGATGTCCTCCGTGCAGCTTCCTGTTCCAACCCGAAATAAACAGTGTAGGAGGTCAAGTGGGAGGACTGTCTATTTTAGACAGGTTTTGTAGACAGTTTCCCAGAATGATATGATATGCGGAGACAGGATGATCTGGAATTGATAATTCTTAAGGCTCATTTCTGAATTAGAAGGCAGCTCTGTCAACTGCCTTTTTCTTGATATCCTTAGGAAGTCACTTTGCCCCAAGCTCCTATGGCATCAGTTCCCACTCAGAACTACCCAGTAACTTCTTCCCCCAGGCTAAGCATCAAATATTACTCTCACCTAAAAGCTCCTGATGTTTTAGCATCTTCTTTTCTATTTTCTGTATGAAATTTATTTTCCCCACCAACTGTGGTGATATTTTTGTTTATGATCTAACAAAGCTTGCCTGTAGATCAGAGTGCAGACCTAGCCACACTAGTTAGCAATGGAGGTCAGGCACTGGTGGTACATACCTTTTTGTAACGAGCATTCTTTCTGCCAACCTGGTCTTAGGGCAGTCTCAGTCCCAAATGAACACGCAGAATACTATATTAATTATGAAGCTGTTGGCCGTTTGATAGCTCTGACTTAATTATTAGCCCATAACTGCTAATCTGAGTATTTCCACGTGGTCTTCTCTTACCAGAGAAAGGGTTCAGAACTCTTACTTCTCTCACGTCCTACATGGTGACTGACTGTACTTCTGTTTCCCAGAATCCTCCACCTCTCCTGATTCCTTATTGGCCAACAGCGCCTTATTTATCAGCCAATAAGACAAACATATACGCAGAAGGACTTCCCCCATCACCTTTAATCCCAGCAATCAGGAGACAGAAGCAGACAGATCTCTGTGAGTTCAAAGTCACCCTGGGCCACACGAAATTGATGCAGTCTAAAAGAGAAACAGAGCTCACACAAAGGTGATCCTAGCACCTGGGATTCCACGCCTTTAGTCTCAGGGAGGTGGAGACAGGAGTGATATGGATGGGTGGAGAGAGAAATGTAAGGCGGGAGAAACAGGAGCTCAGTGTCGTCTGTGCATCAGTCAGTCTTCTGAGGAAGCGGTCAAGACAGGGTCCCCTTTGTTCTGAGCTCTGGTAGAGAATTCGTGCAACCTCAGCCTGAGGAGGCAGTCTGAGGACAGGATCACCGCTTTAGTCTGAGCTTTGGTAGGGGTAACAACTCTTCCTGGTTGGCCCCTCTGCTTCTTTGATCCTTCAGTTAGACTTTGTTAAAGAATAAACAAAATAGCATCACAACCAGTGATGTAGGGTCATCAAAGCTGGCATGCCCCCATTGCACAAAGCGTTCTGGTTTTGTGGTCATTGGTCTCACCTCCCAGAGATCCTCTTCACTCTCAGAAGCCCCGTGCAAGAAGATCAGTGTTGCCACCTTAAGAGGATAAGAGGAAGAAAAGGTCAGGATCTCGATCTGGGTCAGCTTGAGGCAAACGGAGATGCCGGGCTCGGGGATGCCGGTGATGCCGGGATGGGCATTGAAAGTCAGGAGATTAAGGTCAGGCGTGGCCCAAAGGTAGGTATCCTGACTCCCAAGACAAGGAATACCGAGAGTGAAGATGTCCTTCAAAACCAGGGTCACAGGAAGGAGCTCGAAAGCCTTGTGTTGAGCCAGGTTCTCTTGCAGTTGGCTTGTAGAGACCAGGACACTGTAGGAGTTGAAAGGCGCGCATGCGCGAGAGAGATCAGGCGCCCTCTGGCACAGAACCGTGAATTCAGCATTCCAGCGGCAGTCTCCAGGTGAACCGTTGGCTTAAAATTAAAGAAGAAGAAGAGAAGGGTAAGGAAACAAAAGGAAAGAGGGGGGACGTCTGAAGAGCCTGAGCCAGGCTGAGCCCTTCGCAATAATTCAGGGCACGTACGAAAATTAGTTTGATATAGGGAAACCCAAATGAAAATGAGCATCTGCTTCTAACGCCATGGGTCTAATGGGGGAATATTGAGCCCAGGCAACAGGCAGGGGTTTCGTCTGAGTTGATGCTGTTCAGCAGGGAGAAGTGGGGAAGTCTAATCCTGGGTGACTCGGGCTGGGGACGGAGCGGAGGCGGAGGGTCGGTACTGGAAAACACAGCTGAAGTATGGAAGGCCCAAACTTCTGGAGCCAGGGGACCTCTCTTCAGAGACAGCGAGGGCCAGCAGGGTCTCCGTCTGAGAGGAAAGACCGACTGGAATGCTATCCATCGGGAGGCTTCATGCCTTAAAAAACACTTAGCATTTTTTTTTTTGTTTTTTTGGTTTTTTTTTCCTATCAATTCCCTTTCTATGTTGGATTCTTCTGCGGCCAGTGACCTGTTCAGGCTACCACAGGTGCCCAAACGAGAAGATACCACCATGCACTGGCATGGCCCTCCATTACTTGAGCTCCTCGGGGTATTCTCTTGTCTTTTCAAAATGTTCTTTCGACCCCCTGCTCAGTTACGCTGAGGCACAGTCTCATATGGGTTCCCAACGCTCCAGGGGGAAAACGGAGCCTTCTGTGTTGATCTTAGATTTAAATGTAACTGTAGAAATGCCTGTCTTATTTCCAAACACGGACAAATGGTTGAGCTGTGGAGACTGACTCTAAAACGTTTCTTTGCTCTCCCTGGGGCTCCTGCTGGCAACCCACGGCCTTCTAATGGTGTCGTCTTTGTTCTGCCCGTGAACACCTCTCTCATTTTGGAAAGATCTCTGTCTCAACCCAGGGAATGATAGTTCATTCAGTGTGACACTCAAATAGACTGGTGTTTGTTTGGCCGGTGTAGACCAGTGGGAAATGCACAGAGTTGGGCGTGGCAGTGAGGCAGGACCTCTCCAGTCATCACCCTTTTCTGTTGGGAGTGGACGCCACAGCGGGGCGTAGCTGTCATGCTGCTTCTTCCGTGTTGTAAACGGGAACGAAGGAGCTGGTGAAGTATTATTTGACAGCTCAAAAACCCCCAAAGAGCACCTTGAAATTCATATTAAGTTACAGAGACCCGAGTCCCTCTGCCACCCCAGTCGCCTCTGTGAAGGTAAAATGCCATCAGCTGAAGGATGGCAGAAGCCAGTGGGTGTGGACATTGACGCTTTGGCAGACTGGACTCCATTTTAGCTTCCGGAAGCTTTTCTGTATTTTCCGAAGTATCAAACTGTAGGAGTTCTTACCAAGGCAATTACAGCAATTTTACTTTTGATCATCCAGGATGGAGCTCTTCGGAGAGAAAAGTCCAAACGTGTGTTTTATATTAGGCCCAGCCTTCTTTCACATCCATTAGTGAAGATTGTCTCTAAACATCTCATCCAGAATTCAAGATTCTGTCTTGAACAAGTAATTCAAGTTAAAATAAAAGTAGGAAAGCTAAGGATTTTAGTGCCCGCATTGTTTTTTTTTTTAATCTTGCTTAAAATATGCTCAGTAAAAAGAAAACAGTCTCACTTCAGTTTAGGTGAACTGTCATTCTCGATATTGGGAACCGCAGGGCCCCCCACATGCTAGGCATGTACCCTCTCACTGAAGTGCAGCCCAGCACCAATCAACTAGAGTCTAACACAGCTGGACGACTTGCCCTTGATTTTCCAGAAATGAATACTCACTACTTATTAAAAAGAAAGTGACCCACCAGCAGGAATAGGATACTTAAGCTTTAAAATATAACTCGTTAATCATTAGGTTCATTTATTTAAACTTGAACACTTTTGGGGACAACGACTTGCCCTTTTGTGGTAATTGAAAAATCTTTTGTCTAGAAGTTTTTGTTTGTTTTTCTTGTCTTAAGATTTCAAAGGTTTCTGTTTTTCTAAAAGTAACTTGTAGGTTAGTGGATGGATTTGAAAGACAGCATTTTTCTCTCGTGAAGAGAGCAAGCATGTGTGTGCCCACGCACTGAGGGAAAGTACAAAGTATTACAGGGTCATTTCACAGGGTTAGAAAAACTACCTTGTGTAGATATACCATGCTTGCGCTGTCTACTGATAAATGAAACGGGGAGGTGTGTGTTAGAGTGGGGAATAATGTGTAAAACGGTGTGCTGTCTGGAAATTTGTAAACAAAACCGAGATAAGGAGACATGTGTCATACACACCCATGCGTGCACACCTGTGTGGCACACGCACCCATGCATGCACACCTGTGCGGTATACACACACAGAGTGGCGCACCAGTTGCTGAAGCATCTCCGTTCCTAGTTGGTAAAGTTGTAAACCGACACACCCTTAGCTGCGTTGGTTTCTCAGGGTGCTCCCGCAAACGGGTCATTGTGCCTGGTGCTCACCCAGAGCCTAAGAGCTCATCTCTGCCCCCCCCACTTCTCAAATCTGGAAGTGACAGCTGCGTTTAGCGGCAGAACTCATTCTGGTAAGTTCGGTGAGCTAGAAGATCCACCCCCTTTCAGTAAATCCATATGAGGCGGCTTCATGAACTCATTATAATGAGAAAGGTCTTTATGCTTCTTTGTGGCTGCAGGGATGAGGAATGCGGTACAGACAGCAAGGACACCATCCTCTCCAGTGCAGTGTTCATTCATTCATCCCCACAGAAGGGCAGAAGTGGCTGTCCATTGTTTCTCTAGGGATGTGTTCTCTTTCATCTTATAGGAAGGAGAACAAGGCTAATTCTCTGCAGCTCTCTAGAATTCGCATGCTACAGTGTCATCCCCTCATTTAAAGGCATTTCTCTTCATTCTGTGTCCCTGTCTACTACCCACCTACAAGCCAAGTCTGTCTGTCTGATTCTGTCTTTGTGGTCTTGAGAATCAAACCCTATCAGTGATGTTTGTACTCAATGAAATGTGAAGCATAGCTTCAAAGTCAACAAAGAGACATCCCTGGGTCCTTCAAACATCCAATAACTCTTTGGGGTGAGAATCCCTGCAAAATAGGCATTCTAACCAATAACCCAGGTGTTTTGGTTGGGTGCATGTCACTTAGTGGAGACAGTTTTTAAAATTAGAGGGAAACCTTCCCAAGGAATTAGTGTCAAAATCTTTAAATTTTAAAATACTAGAGAAAAAGCAACTTATATGGATTCTCCTAAACCTCAAAGTGGTATTATTACTCTTCAAAGTAAGTGTAGAATCCAATATTTGTTATTTTTATATTGTTTTGAAATGGGGACTTTGTACTGACAAATGCCATGACTCATCCTCCTACAAAACAAACAAAATTTTAGGTGCTTTGACATAAAGAAAATTAGGTTTGCCAGAATTAATCTTTGGGTGAATTCTAAAATTACAGTAGAAAATCTTATGGTAGATGGTATCTCAAGTATAATCTAGCACTTAAGATAGCAGTTAAAATGTTTTCTAAAAAGTGCAGCCCTTTGCATAGATACTAGAGTAAACTTTTGGAATAGAGGACCCAATGGAGGACTGAGGTCCTTGATTGCAAGAAAAGACATAGAGGGTAGTGTTATGGAATTTACTGTCTGGTTCTGCAGCCACCTTGTCCCAAATTAACACTCACATGCTATATTCATTATAAAGCTGTTGGCCAATGACTAGGGCTTCTTAATGGCTAGTCTGTCTTACTTATTAACCTATCTCTCTCAATCTAAATATTTCCATGTGGTCTTGTCTTACCAGAGAAGGGTCAGCACCTGTTACTCCTCTGGTGTCCTACATGGTGACTGACTCTACCTACATTTCCCAGAATCCTCCTCATCTCCTAGTCCCACCGATCTTCCTGCCTCATTGGCCAAACAGCGCTTTATTCATAAGAGAAACACTATAAGAGAAACATTATACATTATACAGAAGGACATTCCCCATCAGGACAGAAGCAGTGGGTCTGTAGACAGAGAAAGAGAACTGGAGCTCCCAGTCCTCTGCTGGGCTAATGGCTAGGTGTTTGTCCTTCAGCATTTCACGGAAACACTTTAATTTCTTCACCTGGAAATAAAAGAAAAGTATTGGAAGGCCAGCAGTTCCTAATACAGACACAGTCTTGCTGATACATCCAAAAAGAACTGACATTTGCAAGAAGATCAATGTAGGGCCACACAGAAACTCAAAGTGTGGTCCCAGAAGCTGGGAAACAAGAGAGTTGTTGAACACAGGCTCACTGAAGATAAAATAAAATGACCTGTGCACCTGGGGATGCCATTTGGTCACTAGATGTCTAGTGCTCATTTTCAGTGGTACACCTACACCCTTGCTGAAAACCTGGAAGCAATGGCTGACCTTACCCAGAGCATCCTTGTGGTCTCTGGGTAATGATTCTGACCATTTTCCTTCATTTCATTCAGCTCCATTATGTCCGTGACCACTGCAGAACGAGAGGTTTACTGGCATCCTCTGTTCTATCTGTGTGGTTCAGCACTAACTATGTAGTAAAGTTACAATATGACAGCTCAGGTTTCATGTTACTCTGTTGTTCATCTTTACATTAGACAGCGGTGCTTGCAGCTTTCTGATAGGAATTTCTTAATTGGGGCATCACCATGTTCTTAATGGAGGTAGATCAAAATGTGTTGTCCTGTAGACCACAGATTTGCTGTTTCAAATGTTTTATGTTCATAAAACATGTGGATACATAATTAGGTCCATATTAATCATGTTTCTGTTAAAACAGAATGCTTAACATAATTAACTTGTAGAGAGAGACAGGGTTTCTTTGTGTCTATACCTTCGGAGGGCTTAGCCCATGATAAATTGGCCCCGTTGTTTGGACTTGTGTGATTGCCTCATGTCAAGTATCCAGCTGAAAGAAGATAGGAAGGGGCCAGTGCTGCTCCTGACTCTGATGACCTCATACCACCCAGCAGGTCTTACTTCTTAAAGTTTGTACCCA